GAGGCTGGGGGGCGGGGCTTGCGTGAGACCACGCCCCTCTTCGCCTTTCCCGCCGCTGAGGCCCCGCCCCCGGCTCGCCATTTCCCGCCGCGTCCCCTCAGGGAGAGTCCTGAGGGGTTTGTGGTAAATAAAGCCCAAATCACTGTATAAACAATAAATCATTGAGGAATTTTGGTTTATTTAAAAGCCGGAGTCGCTGTATAAACAATAAATCCTGCTCTGCTGATAGGTGTTTTTTTCATATCTTAAGTCTATGTGTGTCACAGCATCTCACTGCAAAATTGCATCTAAATAGTCTTGGAAATACACAGTTTATTTACAATTATAAACTCTGCGTGTCTGGTCTAAACCATAGTAATTTTCACAGACGCGTGTAATTTTTAACACTTGGACTATGTTAGTTCAGCATCTGTGTAACTAAGTGTGAAATGTAAAGCTGAAAAACGAGTAGGCTCTAAAAAAATGTCTCTGAAAAATGTAGGGAAGGAGCATAATCAGATTTTAAAAACACTATTTCAGAGTACTTTTAAAGCATTTCCCAGTGTTCTTCACTATTTGCGCCTTTTCATTTATATACCATCCCTACTGATGTTTAATAATGCGTATGTTGGCCGCTCATTTTAATGATGTTAAGAATCTTACATTTTATAAGCTTTTATTCTATTATTACTTCCCTTCTAGTTCATTACCTTTGGTGAGAAGCTGGCCATACTGTAATTTCATTTTATATCGATCAGAAACAGTTTTGTAAATGCTTTTCCCGTAAAGGTTGACTGTGATATTTGTTTAAACTTCAGCATTCTTGCACAACTTTGTTTAACTTTATATAAACCTATTTGTTGAGGTGCTATCCTAGATATCTGGCCTGCAAAGGTTTTGTCACCAATGGTTGTGGGGGTTTTTTTGCAGATTTTTTAATTTTTTTTTTTTTGCAAAACACTGTTTAAAACAGTGCATGCTGATATATTGTGCTCTAATATTTCCATATTGCAGTTTTTATTTGTAATGGAAGTGGTCAGAAAGTTGGCATAATCTAGGATACAAATGACTAAAAGGAATTTGTAAGGGAAAAGTTATTTCAAAACAGAAAAAAAAAATGCTGGTCTAAACACATCCACACATTGTTTGATATAACTCAAATGCTTTTTTGCTTCCGACATAGATTTAAGGTCACTTTGATTTAAAAAATATTTTACTAAGGACAAACTAAATCTATTATTTTGTTATTATTTGTACCTCTGAAAATTATTTTATTATGCAGTTGTCAGAAGGAAAGTGAGGACTCATACAGGATTGCTGTGGGCATACTAAAAATTGAAATCCTAAATTAAAAATTGTTAAGTTTAGCAGTTCTGGCTTCCTCAGGAGGCAGCAATAATGTTTTAGTAAAGAATGATCTGCCATTAATTATTAACTGTGAGTGAAATGTGTTGGTGGCATTTCTGCTCACCCACAGCAGAGGCTGTTTAACCCACCCTCACTGATATCTATGGTTTGCTGTTGTCCCAGACACAATGACTCTTTTTATATATTTTATTGTTCTACTATTTTCTGGAACGACTTTTAGCCAAGAGAAAACGTAAGTAAAAGCAAATACGGATTTTACTGGAAACATTACTTGATTGTTGTCCTTTCTTTTGGCTAAATAAATCCAGAACTTAAGCAGAGCCAAAACAAAGGGCACTATCCAAATAGGATTTTAATTAGTGTCTTACAATAACCTGATTATCCTGTTTGCTTTAACACTGTGCATGTAACCAAATTACAAAGGGAAGTAAGAAATCTGAAAGAAATACAGTTCCATTATGCCATTATTAATATTATATATTAATATATTTTATATTAATATACATATTCCATGTACAGGTATGTCCTTACAGCACCAAAGAACTTCCGAGCTGGGGCCTCTGAGAAAGTTGTAGTTCAAGCTTTTGGTTACGAAGAGGAATTTCCAGTCAATATTGCCCTAAAAAGCTTCCCAGATAAGCTGGTTGTGTATTCGTCTGGTCAGATTTCCTTAACTCCAGCCAACAAATTTCAAGATGCTGTAACTTTAACAGTAAGGAATTCAGACTTTTTTTACAGTCTTTTTATTATCACATTTAGTGATAAGTCTTAAAAAAAGATTATGTTAAGTTTTCAGTTGTTTAAACTGGGGAGGGAAGAATAATGCTCCAATTTTTGGTCTGAAATTAAAATTATGCTGAATAAAATCATTGCAAAGGAACAACACTGAGGTTAAACATAGAATCAAACTACTTTAGAAACATTAGCATACCTGCATAACTTTAAAATTAGAAAGAATCAAATCAAAGTACCAACCACAGCAGGAGTTTTGTTGTGGCCAGGATTCATCATGGGCATAAATGGAAATCTGATAATTTGCACTGTTGTAACCTCATTACTGGGATTTGTACTTTGCTGGTTTAGTTCTTGACATAAATAAAATGCAAAATTTAAGAATATCCATAGCTTAATGCTCTAGACCATCCTCTTATCATGTAAGCAAGAATAAATCCTTGTGAGTGTTGATATTTTTATTTAATGATACTCAACCACAGGGTGGTAATTGCTTTTCAGATACTCTTTGCATCAAAAAATTCTGTGGGGAAAAAAATATACAAAAAATATTTTATTAATCTTCAAATCTTCATCTTTATTTCATCTCCCCCAGGTTCAACCAAGAGATTTACCAAGAACAGATAATTCAGACAAGTATTTGTATTTGGAAGCTGTTTCTCCACATTTTACAAGATTTAAAAAAATTCCTGTTTCCTATGAGAATGGGTTTCTTTTTATTCATACAGACAAACCAGTTTATACTCCTGACCAATCAGGTAAATAATACTTATTTCTCTTGGCTGGTATTTAATTTTTAAAGGCTGCTGACTCTGCTAAGGAATTAGGATTTACATGTTCTTTAAGCTCTTGGTTGTTTTGCATTGCCATCAGTGGATATTTAATTTTTTTATCAGCAGAATAATACTTTGAATTACTTGATCATACTGTAAAAGTTAATCACTTCTCCCTGCCCTCCTCATACTAAATGACTAATTTGTGGAACAAAGTGTGAAAGATATTCTTGGGAATCTGTTAAAAATGTCAGTGAATTTTTTGATTGGTTAGATTTTGAGATTTATTGTTGTAATTCTTACAGTGAAGGTCAGAGTTTACTCTCTGAATGAAGAACTGCAGCCAGCTCGGAGAGAAACTGTCCTAACTTTTGTGGTGAGTCATAACTGAATTTAATATTAATTTTTTGTAGTTCTAATAACAAATAAAGGTAGGTAGGTAGGTAGATGGGAAAATCAGTAGTGCAATCAATGTTCAATAAAACTCTAAGATGTTTTTGCAGGCAGCCAGGCATCCTTTAAAAGATTTAAAATTGACTTTGCAAGGTTGGATAGATGTTTTCAAGTCCCAGATCCGAAGTTATCCCAGAATACAAAAAAAAAAAAAAATAAATCTTTAATATCTGGGAAAAGGATTTTTGAGGGAACTTTAATAATATATGGGTTTTATACTGTTTGTTTCATTAAAGATATAAAAATAATCAGTATCTACTATATTTTTTAGCCTTTAACAATCGGCTTGTTATTAAAATATTTTTTTAGCTGTTTTAAGCATAGCTTTTACTTGGTGGAACCAGAGTAAAATCCATTATCAGAATTTCAGCCTGAGTTGTTTCTACAAATGTTTGTGCTTTTATGTTTTGAAACTTTTAAGAAAAGTATGTTATGGCCAGGCTGCCTCTGAAATCCCAGGATGGAGATTCCCCTTTTGATAAGAACAATCTTTGACTGCTCATCCTTTCCTCTTATCATTTCAAGGATCCTGAAGAAGTAGAAGTGGATATTTTGGAAGAAAAAGATTTTACTGGAATCGTTTCTTTTCCCGACTTCAAGATTCCTCCTAATCCTAAGTAGATTAATTTAATGGTTTTTTTTTTGGTGAATTATTGACATTATAATGCCTTTTTATAGTGACTGTGATAGAGTGATTTTGCATGGTGGGCATGGCTTGAAACTTGGAGATTTCTAACATTTCACAGAGTGGAATCAGGATATAAATAAGGACCTTGTGGCAGAGTACTCTCCTTAAAAACAGTGAGTGGTAGATTTTTCATATTCAATTAAAAAAGAACATTAATGACAATTAAATCTTACTACTGTAGAGGTATAAACAGTGACAAAGATGTGGGCATTTCATATTTCATATGTGTTTCATACAAATCATCAGCATTTTCCCAGGAACAGCAGCATACAAAAAATATCTCTTCAGTTCTCTTTTTAGTCTTGAGAGGGTGCTGAAGCATTGCTGAGATGGCAGAAAGATGATAGCAGGGGCTTGAAAAACTGGTTTATAACTGATTTACTGTTTGATTTCAATGCTTTGAAATAAGTGTCAAATAATTTGTGATGTATCAAAGACAATCTGCTCAAAGTAGGCATTGAACACCTGCAAAAATTTGGTGCAGAATTTTCCTCTCTAAGGGATTATTACCATGAATATTATCAAGCAGTAATAATAATTTTTGCCTTCATCATTAATTTTCATCTTAAAAACTCATTGATTGTTGATATATCATAGGTATGGAATTTGGAAGATTAAAGCCAAGTACAAGAAGGATTTTGTGACCTCAGCTGTGGCAAAATTTGAAGTTAAGGAGTATGGTAAGATGTGCCCATGCTGTTAACCTGCATTTTTAGTGTTTTCAAGAACACAGACTGCTTGAAATGGCCATGATTCTTCAGTGGTTGAGCACCTGGGGCT